AACCGACACTGAATAGAATCAGCTATGAATACTGTAATGATGTTCTGAAATGCCTATAAAATGAACAGTTTTCATGCTGTAATGCGCTCTTGATATTCTAACATAAAAGAAAAAAATTCCCTAGTGGATAATTTTTTTCACGTTCTAATGAATGCTAAAGCATAACTGTCAGACATTGCATTTAAATGCAAAAAGAAAAAATTTAGTAATGGATAGCTACATATAGTTTTTTGCTTTACTAGTTGCACCCTTGATGATGAGCTCAGAAAGAGATGAAAAGTACTTAGGAAAATAAAAATGATTTTCAGTTACAGTGCATTTCTTGCATTATTTGACTGTAATACATGGAAAAATATCCATAAATATGAACCTATTATGCTAAAAATAAGCAGGCACACACACACATTAAGTGCTGGAGTTAATAAAATAGTGCTCAATGCAATATAACAGAGCTATAAACTATATATTCTACATGGGGATTGTTGTTCTTTTAAATACAAAATTTTAAAAAAAACAACAATTGCAGGATAAAATATGGACTGCCTCCTCATTGTGACAACTAGATATATTTAACAAAATTTAAATTATGTAACAGTTTTAACTCAGCACCTGAAGACTGCGTTGTGCATGAACAGTTATGCTACTGGTGAAGGTGTGTGTGTGTGCATTTGAGTTGTTGTGTGTTGGATTTTAAATGTTCAAAGATCCCAATGCATTTTCCCTACATACAGTTTTGTCTTTCATTGCAACCTGAAGAAGCTGACAGTAGCAAAAGTTCTTTCAGTGAAATGTGCCATTTATAGTTTTTCTGTTTTGTTTCATTATCTTCACTTTTGTTCTGGATACTATTATACATCATAGAAACACAACACACACACTATATATAAGAAAAACAGACCACTTTAAGGTACCATTATAATAATTTATTTCACAGAGTCCTTTTAAGGGGCGGATCATCGAATAACACTTTCAAAAATGAAATGAAATAAAAAAAAGATTTTTCGCTTCATTTAATTTTTGGAAATGCTATCTGATGATCCGGCATCCTTTAAAAGGACTCTGGTGAAATAAATTATTATAATGGTACCTTAAAGTGGTCTGTTTTTCTTTTAAATATTAGGTCTGGATTTACATTGTGCTCATACGGATTACCAAGTTCTTCATAGCATATTATATATATATATATATATATATATATATATATATATATATATATATATATATACACACACACACACACGCACTTAAGTAACAGTTCTTCATTGATACAGATTATTAAAGGCAACTATAAGGAATGTTTTGGTAATTTTTTAAAATATCGCCTTTGAAGTTTTTGTACAAGTGAATGCAAATCAATTGTCATTTTGCAGTGTTTTGGGTTATTTGTCTAGCTGTTATCAAAATCCAAAACCTTTATGCTTGCAGGACAGAAACTTTGATTATCTATGTTTTTTATTGATATTTTTATTATCATTATTATTGATAATAATGGTTGTTAAGCAAATAGCTGCAACATTTAACTTATTGTAAACAATAAATAAGGTTCATTTCAAATACTTGTAAATAAATAGGCAGAAACATTCTTAGTCTATGACTTTATATATAACACAAACATCCATAAGGGAAGGTCATAAAATCTTATGCCAATTTTGAAACATCCAATTAAAAAAAAATGCCATCTCCCTTCAGGACATAGGTGATTATAATATTTGAGATTTCTGTGTATTGCAATGGCTTATTGGCAAAGATAGTGGAATGTTTTTCTGTCTCCTTCTCCACAAATTTGAATTCTATTTCTCTTCTAGACTGGTTGCCACCTAAGGTTATAGAGCTTGGTCTACACTGCTATTTAACTCATTATGGAAGTTCAAAGGTGTTCTATTATAGCTGTGGTTAGTAAGCTTATCTCAAAGAACAATTCACTTGTGTAGTGAGTTTGATCAACACTGATTGCCTATGTTGAGTTGGTTTTATTCCTAATGCTGGTTTTAAATTCAACATCTCCACTATCTCTACTTATCAATCTATTCCTTGAATCCTGTAAATGATTCATGATTTACCATTCTGTATTCAACACAAGACTGACATTTTCAGGCATTGCTAAGGGTTTTAGGTAAAGTTGCACAATATGCAGTGCAGCCAGAATTTTCAATTTCTTTTTGCTTATAACTACAGACTAGGTCTTTCACATCATGAAAAAGAACTCCAATTTATGAATTTCAAAATTTAAAAAAAGATTTTTTTTATATTTTTAAGAAATGATTGATTTTTTTTTTATGACTTATCAACCCTTTGTGGTTTAATTAAAGTGGAAAAATATTTCAGATTGTAGGAGGTTGTTTACATTATTTGATGATCCCAAGCAGTCCTCAATCTAAATGTTGACTAAGAACTAGTTAGATTAAAATTATAGTAACAACTAGTGTGTGTGTGTGTGATGGATGAAATAGTTATGCATTACACACTGGTGCCAGTGACTAGTGCATTGAAGCCTAGGTTAAGGTTCAGAAATTCAAATGCTGATTTTCCAAGCAAGCAAGCTCTTCTTGTTGGTACAACCATCTTCATCCCCCAAATCTGCCAGTTTCTGCCATTTTTTTTTTATTGCAACAAACTAAGCCGAGGCTAGAAAACATTTATGAAGGGTGCACTAAAAGTAATGCATTTGATTTACTTCTGCAGAAACTACAACAGATACATTGAGCACAATAACATTATTGGGGAGAGCAAGTTTTCAGCTACAAAACACAATATCTTAACACATTTTCATCAGACAAGAGTCTGCATTGTAAGCAACTTTCAAGACCTGCTGTAAATTGTTTAGACAAAAACGTATCTCCTTGCTTCACTCCTTTTCCAATCTAGCTTTAAGAGATAAGAAGTCCCATTTTCAGCTGAAAATTAAGTGGAGTCTCCATATTGGAGTGTATGGGAGTGCTGCCAAATGACTACCAACAACTTCCTACATACCATGGAACTCTTTATAGTATAGTCTCTAGAGGTGTACTCTTTACTCCACAACAATCTGAAATATCTCAACTTAAACTCCTATTTTAAACATGCAAAAAAAAAAAAAAAAAAAAAAAAAAAATTTAAAAACTAAATGAGTAACCTGAAAAGAAAAATGAGCACTGAAATACTCAGCTTTTGAAAAAAAATCTTTAAGTAATCAACCCCAAAATCTTGTTTGACTTTTATAAACTATTAGTCCATTATGTCCTTAGAACAATGAAAGTCTGGAAAAAATTCTGATATTAATTTTTTTTTTTGGAGGAAATAATATGGAAACAGAAATTGTGTAATTTGAATATTTTTTGAATTTGAAGCTTACATTAACAATAGGCACACAACTTGAACAATTGCAATGACAGACTTAAATAAACATACCTACCTCTGAAAATGTCTTCCTATCACCCAATGGTGTTAATGGCATTGAATGTGATGTTACTTGTTGATTAGCAAGACATTTCAGGTAGGACTATTTACCAGCAATGTTGGATTTTATAGAAAGCTGACCCTAATCAGTAATTAAAATGGAAAAATCTAACATATCATGCTTTCCCAACCGCTTCCATACACTACCAAAGATATAGAGTCATAAGACTCATCCTTTACTATAGAAATATTTTGTTTTACTGGAGTGGGACATTTTGCTATGAAGCTATTTTTGTGACATTTTGCTATTCTTTCTTGATAATATCATCAGTATTTTTCTAAACATTTATCTTAATTATCTTTGCTTTTTTATTTCATTCAAAGCGAAACAGTCTTACATTTTTATCTAATTCTTTAATTAGTGCTACATTATCCTTAGTTAGTATTCTGAACATAACAAATTTCTTTCTTGTTTACCCAGTGTATAAAATGAAAAGCCAAAACTTAAAGATATCTACATAAAAATTAATTTTTCACTAGATGAAACATGTTTCATTTTAGTTCAGAATGTTTAAATCTTAGAAACTTTTATAAAGAAGGGGTTCTAATTTTCTAGATGTTATAACTTGTAAATATGTACACTGTATATGTAGGTGTGTTTGTGTGTCTATGTACGTGCACTTTTGTGTTTATTTTTATTTATGTCTTCTTCTGGCACTAGCATGTATAATTGACTCCCACAAAATAGAGACATAAACATATACATTACAAATGTATACGAAACTACACAGTGTGTGACAGACACGGAATTGGCTCATCTTTGATAATACAGATTCTTAGATTAAATATTTTTAGTTCTAATTTGTGGTTAACTTTTTTCTTCAAAACACTATCACAATTTTTTCTTGACTGAGAGTTTCAAGGGAAAAAACAAATAAAAAAACAAAGTAACAATAAAACAGAAAAAATATTTCATCAGATAACTAACAATCACTTGCTTATCTGGCTTCCATAAACTGGACTTAAAACCATACATCCTTTGGTTCTATGCTTTGATCTTGTAAATGTGTGTCAAAAACTGAATATAACAAACTTGTATTTTGTGATATTTCATACTACTTATTTTATTTAATCAGGATACCCTCATTATAAAGTTTTTGTTTCAGAATGTCTAAGATTCTGAGATGATGCATCTTGCCTGATTTCTTTATTGCTACTTGTTTCTGTCAGAGAGTATTACTAAACGTAGAACTTTGTGGTTAAAAAAATGAAATGGAGGAAAAAAGTTAAAATTGAATAATGAAAATACTTCATCTCAAAAATCAACTTTATCTGAAATTAAAAAGAAAAAAAATTTTTGTAAAAATATTGAGTTCCAGAGTTAGCATGTCTCTACCCCCCCTGCCAATTTCCCAGCAAGGTACTGCCCACAGACCACTGCTAGAGAAGAGAGACCAAGAGTGAAAAATTAAGTAAAACATGCAACACCTATAGAATTCATAGAAATTTGACATTTTACCCCCCTTCCCGACTTCCCAGCAGAATGGAAAAACATGAAGATGGGGAGGAGGAAGAAGAAGAAGAAGAAGAAGAAAGAAGAAGTGAGGTAAAGAGATGCCAAAAACCTTTCAGATTTTTTTTTTCCAGCTTTTCCCCTCAAAGGTGCTCAATCTTTTTGGAAAAATCATCGACGAAACAAACCATTATGCGGAACAAAACAACGTGGACGGATCCTTTCTCTCTCAGAACTCCAAGCTGAAAAAATGGGAAGGTAAGCAAAGGAATTTTGATTTGGCTGAAGCAATGAAAGCATTCTGATTGTTCTATGTTAACATAATTGGCAAGGGGGGGGGGAGAGATACAAAAAGTCCATGGTCAGTTGAGCTGCTAATACATAAATGATCCCTCTCTATCACATGAGAGACTTGCAGTTTTCAGTAAATGTCCCATATATATTTATTAGGAATAGTACAGTAATTTCAAGAGAAACCATTATCATTCCAAAAGTTGTTTGGAATATTGATCTCATTTGTATTATTGCTTTGGTTGTTAGCACAATGTTTTAGACAATGTATTTCAGAGTCTTCTTCAGGAATACAATCCAGTCGAGAGTGCTGAAGAATCAGAAAAAACACAAATGTGAAATAGGAAAGTTGGGCAGAATTCAAGGTCTGTTCGTGAAGTATGGTTATTTACTGTTTATGAAAAGATAGCCTACTCAGGGCAATGACAAATTAATCTGCTTCATTGGTATATTTATATACTTATCCTGATATACATTATCTACATTATTCGGACCACATTTATTACAACGTTTCAGGCATCGTACACTCTGGCCGCCTTCAGGTGGTTGGAATGTTGAACTTAACCCTTTATTTCGCTCACTGGGGTTGACTGTTCTAGTTCCGTGTGCCATGTTTAATGGATGTCAGTTATCAGTTATTTGTTGTTAATTTCCTTCTGTGCAATTTTAATCGGGTATTGAACTCACACTCTTTGGGTCCTGTCACTGGACCTAACCAATGCTTTTATCCACTGTGCCATGTGTCCTTGAGAACATCTGTGTATGAATTTCTGGGTATGATAAACCTAATGTCTTCAGCAACCATTTTTACCAGTGCTCATATTGCAATTTTTTTGCCGTTATCATTGCATGTTTTTACCAGAGCTCATATTGCAACTTTTGTTGTTATTGCTTTTCTCTATCCTGATATCTATTCTAATTTTCCAAATCATTTGCAACATTCTGTTTTGGGATCATCACCAACTGCTTCATGTCATTCTCCTTTCATTTACATTCTGAATATAGCTTTGGATAAAACCAAAAAGTACGTCTTTGAATGATCTACGTAATGCAATACTTTTCCAAAGATTTCTGCACGAGATGCAAAGAATCTATCTAGTCATTATGAATACAACAGTCGCACAGTACACAATCTCATTGTCAATTGAGTAACCCTACAGGAGAGCATTCAAGCTTGTGCTGTAAGACCTATCCACTTATTAGTTGCCAAATTACATCAATGGCATACTTTTGAGATATTCAAAATATCTGGATATATTCTGGGTGAACCTTCTATATTATTTGGTGAGAAAAGAAAACACACAATATTTGTTGGAATGAGGTTTAAGTATTGCAAATCAAATATTGCTGGAGAGAGTGGAAATTGAAAAGAAGCTGCAGATTGTATGATAGATACTAGTGTAGATTTCTTTGCTGAGCAAGGAAAGGTCTTGGAAGCTACAGTGCATATAAGACACAAACTGACCTGTGCTGTATATATTACCGTAATGTTTGGTCAAATCAGTTGGTCCATTTGCTATGTTTACTTGTATTTTTTTAAATATTTTGTTAGTTTCCATATTCTTTAAAAAAAAGAAAAACCTTTTTCTTTCTTTATGAATTGCACATCCAAAGAATCCAGAAAATGGTAATGATAATATTAGCAGTTTCCTTATATGGAAACATCCGGTATTCATTAACTAAGCAGCTTGTACTACTGTCTGTTGAAATTTATAAAATCGTTTAAAACAATTTTTCATGAAAATAGATTTCAGTGGCTGTTATCATTTTTTCCAGTATTGATGTGGGGTTTCCTTCCTAATCTTTTATTTGAAATAGTGTGGAACATCAACAACTTCATTATGTCATTATTTTCTCTTCCAGTTATATGTGCTATCCATTTTAGTTGTTGCTGCTGTTGATAATCATCAAGTAATGTGGTTTCTGTTATCTGGTACAGTTCTTTGTGATTCTATAGCACCAGTCCACAAAGTTTGAAGTGGTGTGGTATTAGACAAGATCCATAGGCTTCACTCAATCAAAGACATTTTAATTATTGATTTTAGGAAGCGGTTGTATAGTAGATTGTTTAGAGATTTCTGAACAGGTTTGGTTTTATGCATGACATCCATATGAAAGTCTCGACCTGATCAGGCTTTTTAAGAACATAACTCAAGTTTTCTGGTTGATGTCTTGATTGTGTAGCAATTTGCAGTATTGGACGTATTCAATGTCTTTATTTTCTCCTATACTAAATTTGTTATAACTGATCCATGCCCTGAGGTATTTGAAGTGTTTGGTATTTACTAATTCCACATGGATTAGCAAAAAGAATGAGATCAATATCACAAACCATTTTTGAAATACTTATTGGCGACAATTATTAAAAAAAAAAAAACAAAAAAAAAAAAACAGAAACAATTCCTGCTATTGTCTCATTACCTGGCTTCAGTGTAAGTTTACTCAAAATAGGATAATTCAAAAATAAATTTGTTCTTCTCAGATTCAGCAGGTAAAACTAAATGATTAAAACATAATATTGGTATCCAAACATATTGGTTGTTCACCAAGATGCTGGAAAAATTGTTTAACAAATAAAATTAAAAGTGCCTCCTACTTTTTTGTGGTCAAACAACTGTTTTTTTTGGACAGGTGTTGGATAGAATAATATTCATAGAATATGACCAATTACAAATGTCTGAGGTAGGTCTAAGGATAAGTTAATTTTCACATTCTGAAGGTGTCTCACCTCCTTCTCTGTTAATACAAGGGGATACTGAACCAAAAAGCTTCAGCAGAAAACATTATTTTGTTTGGTCATTGAAATGGAGATTTCAAGAAGCTTTTAATTACTAAATGTAGCCACTTTATGTTGTCCGAGTCTGGCTTTAACTTTGCCTTAAATAATTGTAATAAAGCACTAAATAATGGTTTCATGTACATTCTAATAAGTAACAGTAAAAGTTTCAAATAATGGCAAAATAGTACTGAAAACAACTTTGAATGATTTTAAAGACCAAATCCTTTAAAAAAAAAAAAAAAAAATGTTAGAGATATCTTTCTAGGTAGTCATAAATGACTAATGTCATTATGAAAACTAGTTTTTTTTCTTTTATATTGACAGTGTTATTTATTGTCTTTTATATGGTAATGTAATGTCAACTGTTACTTTATAAGGAAGCATTCACCGTTCATTGACCGAGCAGCCAGTGCTACTAGTTATGCTTTTGCCACTCCATAACTATTGGGCTTGAATCAAAGTGTAGTATTTGTTCTCATCTCTAATGGTAATAACATTAGCCATTTCCTTATAAGGAAACATTTGCCATTCATTGACTGAGCAGCCAGTGCTACCTCGAGTAATGCTTTTCTGTCATTCATTGGCCATCGGGTTGTGATCACAGTCTAGTATCAGTTCTCTAAAATTAATGGTAACATTAACTGTTTCCTTATAAGGAAACATTTGCCATTCATTGACCGAGCAGCCAGTGCTACCTTGAGTTATGCTTTTGTCATTCATTGGCCATCAGGTTGTGATCAGTCTAGTATCAGTTCTCTAAAATTAATGGTAATATTAACTGTTTCATTATAAGGAAACATTTGGAATTTAGCTAGTGCTAGCAGAATTAGCTAGTGCTACATTCAGGTGAAATTTATAAAATCATTCTCTTAAAACAATTTTTCAGGAAAATAGGTTTCTCAAATTCACTATTATTGCTCTTTCCAGCATTGACGAGGGCCTCCTAATGCAAAGTCAGAAGCTAGCATGTTATGTTTTTACTCATTTATTTTTAAAAATATCTTGTACCCTAACTGACTGACCCAAAGCAGGATAGTTTACTCATCAGAACAGTTTGCAAAGCTCCATCCATCATGCAAAGAACTTGTACTCTTGATGTAGCCAAAAGATCACATGAAGTTGAAAACATGTCAACAAGAACAAGATGTCGAAAACAAGACAAAAGCAATTTATAAACTGTTTATCAAAGCATATTTACTCCAAGTGACAAAAAAGCAAGAAAAAAGTAAACTTAAAAAAAAAAAAAAAAAAAAAAAAAAGTGAAAATATTCTTTTGCCTGAAGAGATGGTTACTAAATCTGAAATCCTTTAGGAAGGGCACTTTTCATGATAGATAAAAGATGGTAGGCAACATCCTCACCATCCCAGAGGACTAAATAAATAATGAGATGTAACCTATCTTTGCTTCTTTAGAAGCTGAATGCAAACAAAGAAAAAAAAAATGTTTCAATTACTTTTCAATCACTTTTCCTGGAAATTACACTCACTAAGATAAATGTGGGTTTAACCTGAGGGTAACATCATTGAATGTGTGTGTGTGTGTGTAGGAGAAAGTAGGGAGAAAAAGAGAATGAGTTGGCATGAAAGAAAAATTCTATCATTCTCAAAAACCATGGGTAATTAGCATGATATGGAATTATTGATATTGTTTCAAAGATTGGTACCCAATCACTGATACATTAGTTCTTTAAAAAGGCACAAATTGAATCTTTCTCTAGATCCTTCTATCAGAATCTCTGCCAGGTTCAGTTAAAGCCTAGCATGGCAGAGAACATTGAAGAGAATAGGATTGATCTATCATGAAACTCTTCTCAAAATCTATCAGTAAGCCTCAAGACATTATATGAGAGGATTGAGGTCATAATTCAAATTCAATAAGATTGAAGTCATGATTTGAGAAGAGTCACCCCCTGCTGTGGATAAGCAGAAATTAAACAACAATTAAGTGAGACAAACATTTTCAGGGTATGACTGAAATAAAAGTCTAGATTATGATTTTGCAAAGGAATTACTTGTAAGCACAACAAATTTATGTAATGCTATTTTAATGGCCCCATTTGAAATGCTATTTTAATGGCCCCATTTGAAATGCTACTTTAATGGCCCCATTTGAAATGCTACTTTAATGGCCCCATTTGAAAGAAACTGAAAACAACTCTGACCTATGACTAAATACTGAATATAGCAAAAGACACAGACTTTTAAGACAAAACACCAGACATTAACAACGGAAACCTCAAAATATTGCCGCAATTATTACAGCTATAATAGCTTCTTTGCAACAAAAAATTTGGAAGCTATGTTTCAATCGTATTTCTGAGACATAACATCATAAAAGGTATCAATTCCTGAAAGGAATCAGAAAGTATTAAAAATAAATAAAAGCAATCAAACATGATCCATTGTTTTTTTTTATAGTTCCAGGCTACACTCCAACATATTCACACACGTAAGGTTATGGGCACTGACCTTGGTATTAAATTTCAGCAATTTCAGAAGGGAACTCCTAAAGGTTAACTTACCTGGTGGACTAGACACTGACTGCTGCTCCATGGCTGGACTACCTGATGTACTACTGGACGTATTAGTGCTTTCATCTGTGGTCTTCTTGAAAAAGTTGTGCTGGAGGGCATAATAGGGTGTGGTGCGTGTCTTGGGGTCATAGTCTAACATTCTTAGTATAAGGTCCTTAAATTTAAGATAGTCTGCCAAATTATGTCCCGGTTCGCCTGACCTCCGACCTCCAGGTCCACCATTCTCAGCACCAATTACATCATGCAGTTTCCGAGACCCGGGCTGCTTATACTGAAAGTAAGAAGAAAAAAAAAGAAATGTAAGTATAACAGTAATAGTCTTTTTATTATATTTATGATTAAAAAAAAATCTATCCATTTCTTAAGTATTTAAATAATGCTAGAAAATGACCATTGTTAGAGAAAAATATTGTGCGAGAGTATAAGAAAGAATTTCTGGAAAATCTGCGATTGTCTTCCCTTTTTTGGACAGAAATAAAACCAGAAGACAAATTATATTTACAATAATTAGTTTTTCTAAAAGCATCAAAGCCAAATAATAACGAAAAGTCAATAAAATAAAAATAAAAATTAAATGTAAGTTGTATAGTACCAAAATAAAGTTTAATTTTTATTCTTTTTTTACTGTCAAAGGCAGCCATCTTTATAGAAAGATGCCATATTGTCACAAAAGCAATCTTGCTTTTGTTTCAAAAAATATTTTGTTGAACAAAGAATTTTACTGCCAAAAACCAAAGTTATCTAGCAATGTAAGATACAGTATTAATCTGTTGTTAATTCACTGAGTAGTTGATTAAGCCAGTTAAATGAAGGCTGAATTTTTATTCTGATGCTGATATGACATTTTGCATAATGGATCTATCATAAGTTTTGTCAATTTGCTTATATGTAAAACATGAAAATGGCCAATTGCTGATGATTCGGTAAAGGGTTATGTGTGTTTAATGAAACAAAACCATCACATTATTAAATAAAATATATATATATATATATATATATATATATATATATAGTAAATAAAAAGAAAAAATTACTTCTACATAAGTTAAAATTTTCATCTGACGATCTGAGGTGAGTATTTAATACAGACATTCTCTACAACTGAATCAGTTTTATTTCTAACATCCTATTCCCCACACAAACTCTTGTCACAAATTTTTACCTATAAACTCAGTCAAAAAAACCATTTAAAGATGACAATGACCAGAGTCCTGTTTATGGGCATATTAATCACAATAATAGCTAAAATGGGGGTGTATCATCAGTGCTAGTACCCTTACAGTGAAGTGGTTGACCCTGCTTTACTCAGATGAATTGGGATGTGGAACTATATTGGTCCATGGGCTACATTCAATTCTCACACATGGCTCCAACAAGTAGCATGGGCACTGTGATGGCCACAATCTAGTCAACAATGTTGACCAGTTGGCTAAACGGTATGAGGGTAGTCAGAAAGGTTTTTAGACCTGACCAGTGAAGATGAATACCACTCCCTAACCCACCTGCGAGAAGTGCTCATCGGCCAGTTGCCAGCCTGGGCATAGGATCTGCACCTCAGTGGACAACAGCTTTATCAGTGGGCGGACAAACCTCTGAGAGGAGGGCCAGGGTAATCTCAACTTCCCCCATGTAAAAAGAACGGGCAAGCCATTGCACTATTTTGTCTTGAATATCATCAGAAACAACAATTTTAATGCTAACTGAATAAATGAATAGCTAAAATAGCTTATAATAACAACATTTTCTTAGCAAGGCAATACCATGAAATAAGACATATCTCTCTATCTCTCTCTATACATATATTATATATATATATATAAAGAAACACTATTTACATTATTCGGACTATTGTCCTCATCTTTGTCGCCATATTTATTACAACACATCGGCTGTTGTATGCTCCAGCCTTCTTCAGGTGGTTGGAATGTCGAACTGAACCCTTTATTTCGCTCACTGGGATAGACTGTTCTAGTTCCGCATGCCATGTTTAATGGATATTAGTTATCTCCTTTTAATTCCCCTCTGAAAGTTCTCCACTGCCTTAACCAGGTATTGAACTCACACTATTTGGGTCCTGCCACTGGATCTCACTAACGCCTTTATTCACTGTGCCATGTGTCCTTGAGAACCACCTGAAGAAGGCTGGAGCGTACAACGGCCGAAGCATTGTAATAAATATGGCAACAAAGATGAGAACAATAGTCCAAATAATGTAAATAGTGTACATAATACCTCATCTCAGAAATATAGACAGATAAATAAAGAAACTTTAACAAGGTTTTATGGTGCATCAAAGTTTTTTTTTCACTAAAACCAAACAGCATCTCTGATATGTTTTGATTTCATCTTTCCTTGCAATCAAAACAGAATAGTCCTTTGTTTATCCTAGGTAATGGCAGTGTATATAATGTAATTTTTTAAAGATTTAATTTTATTATTATTTTATTAATGAAATATTGCATATTTTTTTTTAATTTAAAAATAAATTTGCAACAAAATTATAGTTAGCAAATGAAGCATATTTTTTTCTTTCTTTATTATTAGGAATACTTTTTTCCTCACTAAAGCAACAGCATCTCATGTATCCTTTTCTTCCATCTTTCCTCACAGATAAAAACGGTCAATTATTTATCTAAGAAAATAGCAAGGTGTACAATGTAATTTTTATTTAATAGGAGTTTTATGCTAATGAAATATTACATCATATTTTTTGTTTAAAAATAAATTCACAACAAGCCTATACTATGAATTCTTTCTTTTCCTCACTAAATTCAGCACCTCTGATATATCTTTTGTTTCCATTTTTCCTTGCAATCAAAACAGTATTGTCCATTATTTATCTGAGGCAATGGCAGGGTATAATACACATGCAAAGGGATTAACACACAGAATTATAATGTGATAATTATAAAACAAATTCCATAAGTAGGAAGTGAATTGATATCAAAATTAAAGGCCACTTTTGGCAACCTTTAAGGAAACAAAAAGTTAAAATTAACAAACCAAAAATAGACTAATTTTTCATTAAATAATAATAAGAGAGTTTAGTTTATGTTAATATTTGATAATCGAGAAATAAATCTGCAATCTGCCAAAATGTATTTTCCAAGTATGAGAAATAAAGTCACTTAAAAATTCTGTGGTTTTTCAAATGGTAAAAATTACAGGTGAGGTGAATATACTTACTTTTTTACCATCTTTAGGTTTCTTGCATACATAAGTTCCATCAGGATGCTGGTCGAAATATTTTCTGGCCTTTGGCGCCTGATCTAGCAGATGCTTTGGGGGCATTCCCAAAACTTCAACAATTTTCATCATTTGATCAAACTGAAAAAGGTATTTTAAATTTATAAGTCTTATTTGATATTAAAAACAAAATAGATAAATAATAAATAAATGCAGTTTTAGTAACCTCAGTCTATAAAAAAAATAGTATGTACATGTGTATATATGATTGTATATTTACAGCGACATGTCACAGAGACACAAAAACCAGCTACAGGACTGAGAAGTCCTACTAAGGAAAATGTGTGTCCACAGGCACGTTTTTCTCAATCTCTAGGCCAGTTGACATTAATTTCACTGCTTAAAGTAACAGGTATACACTTCTATAAATACACATATGTATGCATACATATATATCTATATGCATACACAATCCTTGTGTATAGTTGTATGCATACACAGACACTCATGAATGTGTAGACATAAGCACACACAAGTAGAGAACCATAGTTTCAAAATGGGTATGTTTATACACACAAAAAATAATTCAAAATTCTTTTAAAAAATCTTGAAGACATGTATTAAGCTTTTCAATTTTTGATTACTAAATGGAGTTTTCGCTTAACAATATCACTTAACGCAATCAAAGTAATGCAGAAATTTAAGATTTGAAACTTTATAAAGTATTATAATTAAAATTAAAAAAAAAAAATTAAATTCTTGTAAAAATTCATTATTCATCAAAATTCAGTTTTTTTCTTAAAATAATATCCTTATATCCTATTTATTAAAGCAATTAAAAGCTTTCCTAATAAAATAATATAGTTTTATTGCAGTTTTTATTTTACAATTCAGAGCAGATTTTCAGGAAATGTGTAACTGTTTGTAAAAAGAAAAAGAAAAAAAAAAAAAAAAAAAAAAATGATGATTTCGGCGCCACCTGAGAATTTCATTAAAACCCGACAATTATTTGATTTTTGGAAGAATTTCCATATCAATGTATTCATTTTTTTTTTTTTACCAGAAAAAGGAGTTAAAAAAACAACAAAAAACAAACAAAAAACTGATTTTTAACCAAAATTTCCAACGTGCTAGAAAGGATTAAAAAATTTAATAAAATAATAAAAAAATACTTTGGCCTTTCCTCTTAATAATAACAAACATTTTGTTTGATCATGTTTGGGGCCTTTTTTCAGCGAATTAGTGGAGGTACCTAAATGCATTTCATTGACAACAAATAAAAAGAGAAATGGTTTGGATTCAATGATATCCTCATTTTGTCATTTAAGTTACACTGTTACACGCACTTCCTGAACTAAATGAGTAATAATTTATTTCTTGATTAGACGATACGGAAACCATCTAAAATTAAAACGGCAAATAAATGAATAAATGCAAACGATGTATCAATTTTAATTCTAAAAATAAATCAATCGAGTTACTTCCCTTGATTATCAGCTGATCACAAGTCATGTGATTACGGCAAAGACATTTTTTTTCACATAAGAGATTCAGTCATGTGAGCAGTGTGTAGTAGTAGTAGTAGTGAGAAAAAAAGAATAAAGAGTTATCGGCCTTGAATTCGTAGAACTAAAAGTACAATGTCCAGTAACTAATTAATGAAAGAATGCAACCCCCCCAAAAAAAACAAAACAAAAAAAAAAAACGAAATACGTTTCAATCATAGTTTTATATCCAGACGTGAGACTACGAGAGATATATTTTTAGTCAAAACAGAATAAAAAATAAATTTATTTAAAAAAAAAAAAAAAAAAAAAAAAAAACGGTGATGATGAGAAAACCCGAAAGAATTAGTTGAATTTGAAGGCAACTGTTTGCCGAAATCAAAATCTAAGTTTGAAGAGAGAACTTCGTATATTGATTCACCAACACCTCTTTGCTCTTCCTGTGTGGTGTGTGTACTGTAGTATCAGCATCTCGTTCGGATAGTCTTACTCTTAGCATAAATAAATACTAACCCTCAAACTGGCAGAGGTTTAATTAAAATTTATTATGGGTTTCGGTTGTCATACATAAAATAAGTGTTTTCAAGACCCAACCCCCTTCAGGGATAGCACAGTAAAAAAAAAAAAACAAAAAAAAACGGGACACCAGAACGTACGGTAAATAAAATGTACACACACACGCCATATTCCCTCGTCGTATAAGAGCCCCTGCCACGAAGTAATTTTTAAACACTGCTAGTCCTTGTTCTTTAATAATTATTACGGCTAATATACGTCTTCTTGTTGGAAATTGTTTTCCAAACTTGTTTGAAGACGAATTTTATTTATAATTTCTAAAGGATAAAAAAACAGAATCATTGTAAAATGCAAATTGACAACAAAAAAAAACATGAAGTGTCAAATGCTTCAAATGTAATTTTTCAATAAATATACATTTCGAAGGGAAATACGGTGTGTATATGCATTGTAGGCTATAAGTACTTACACATACAAAAACACATGAGGTATGCACTAGAGAATTTTTAGTCCATCATGCATCATAAAACAGCTGATATTTCATCATTTTGCCAATTTTTAATTTTTAGGAATTGGGTTGGGTCAAGTACTTTTCAGCGCCACCTCTAGTGTGTGTGTATATATATATATATATGCGTGTAATGTGTCTGCTAAGTCACTTCAAAGTATTAATCAAATAAACAAAATTATGGTATAACTAAGTTAATCTTAGTAAATAGCAAACTCTACTAGTTATCAATTATAGCAGTATCACAAAGTTAATTTCTTAAACAAATTTGTCAAAGCATTCATTCACTCAATAGTGATGACACTGCAAAGCTTTCATGAGGTGGGGGCGCTTTTTAGTAAGAAAAGTGCAACAGAGATGATGTCAGCTGTGTTTTAGTGCCAGCAATTCATTTTATACAATTACACACACGTATAACGCACACACCTATATATAAATAAAACATAGAATATACACACGTGTAATACACATAATACACACACACACAAAGTGCTAGAATTTGAACACTGCACAAAACTGAATGTCGTGCGGAATTTAGGGCATTGTATTTTGTTTTGCCAGATTGCTACACAAATGTGCTCAGTACACTGAATATTATTATCAGCATCATCATCGATCCTATTAAAATATCCAAATCCCTCTGATTTACAACTGCCATCAGACAAAATTTTTTTTTTTTTTTAAATCTATGTGAAAGTGAAGGGGAGGATTTAAATAAAATTATACACTTCATTTATTTTTAGACAGCTCTTGCTTAGTAATTAATTTTCTAATTAGTGAATTAATGGGCAATTTTCCCCTAATATCCAAGCATAATCAGCTTTAACGACAAATTGAATAAGCTGGCCTGAGAGTCTCAATTGAAAACACTTCTGTGAGAACTCAAATTCACGACCAAAGTCTGTTTGAGAGGCTACTGAAAAGTTCTTGGCATGACTAAAACCGTTTTCCAAATCAAACCAATCACCAGAATTTTTTTTCCTTTTTAAACCTCACTTTGGCCAGTTTGAAAAATTTGCTGCACCCTTCAGTAGAATCTTGGAGAAACTAAGCTTAAAAGACCTAATCTTTTAGATTTATGCATGAAAATGTTAAATCCTTGCATCTGAGGTCTAAATTTTATTTTGCAAGAGACATGCACATAATATCAATTTAATCATGACACAGTTAAAATACAATTTTATAAATTTATAGGAATTTAAGAGTTGTTGCACATAATTTTTATTCATTTTTTCAGATAAATTTCTGTTGTTTGATAATTGAATATGTGGGTAGCATAATAGTTGTTCAGAAAAATGAATCAGCATGCCAAGTTCAAATTCTGAGTGTTCAATTCACTTTGCACAAATGACCTTGGCAAAAAGTATGTCTTCATTTTCTTCCAATTGTAGTTTGAATGGCATGGTCAAGTAGGTTTTCTTGCCTTTGTCACCAGCTAGTCTAGAAGAAGGAAAACTGAATTCAAATCCCTCTAAATAATAGGACAGATTAAGTTCTTTAGCATTGGTAGCGCAACTGATCTAGGAGTAGAACTACTCTAAGGCAGCCTCAAGGGAGATGGGCATAATCAAACTATTTTGCCCCTAGACAACCACTGCTGCCATAGCTACAATATATGCTTTGCTACAACGGTCAAAAGAAGTTATTGAACATGTGATTCTATGATCCTTGTTTTATTCAGGGGCAGTAAAAAATAAATAAAAAAATAAAAACATAAACAGTCTAAAGAAATATGCTTGAGGTTAAGAATTGAAATCGTTTCTATTCTTTGTAAACATTCCAATGTCCAGAGTAAACTTCTGGGTAGAAGCTGTGACATATCTATTTACTTATTTATCTTTCCATTTCCAGAGAAATAATTTTTTTTTTTACACTCTTCTGAAATTAACATTTAATTCAAGTTCAGTAACAAAATAATAAGAAAGGATAAAAATATGAACAAACATGACAAATTTTAAGAATACAAAATTAAAAAAAAAAAAAATTAATTTCTGATGTCTGTGAAACTTTCGCATTGTATTGTTGTCTGATTGACAAGATGAGAGTAGATAACCCAAGCAAAAGCCAGATTAAGAATAATTAATCCCATTTGCTTAAAACATGTCCTGGTGACTATATGGATAAATATTTTTAACACTTCCACTGCTGTAAACGTATTTATACATTTACACAAAACTTACATTGGCTGCTGTCAACATATACAGACTACGGCTGAAAAATTTGAGGACACACCTTTTTTAAATTGACCACAAAAGTAGGTGTTTTGTACTTTAAATAAGAGAAAATTATACATGGTTAAAGAAAAGTGAGACATGATATTTTATCAGAAATTTTTATTAAAACAAAAAGAAAAAAAGCATTTCATGATAGAATTTTGCTCCCGTCAAAATATCCTTCTTTAGCCTTGATTACTGCAGCACATATTTTTGGTATCTGTTGCAAAAGTTTCTCAAACTATAAGTTTGATAATTGATTCCATTTTTTTTTTCAATGACTCTAAGAGCTTAGAGCTTTTTTTTTCTTTTTTCTCCACTCTTCTCTCAAGTTCATCCTATGCTAATTCGGTGGGAGGGGGGTTCAAACTTTTGAACTGTAGGTGTAGGTTTACAAGACTGTGAAATATTGGTCCCTAATATCCGTGTTAAAAACTAAGTAACACTTAGTGCCATTTCCAATCCAACATAGTAGTATACAGTACAACCCATTTTGCAACATATCTACATGGGGGGGGGTCATTAGCTCAGTCTATACTGCAAAGTATCTGATTGAAACCAAAATGGCTGTGCCCATGTGAAATAACTGTAGGTCTTTATTGTTATTTATTTCCACTAAATGATAATTTCATATTTTCTACACAAAACAGGCCAGTACAGCCATGTAACAATGTTATAACAATGTATTGGTGAAAGTTTGAAAGACCAAATTTCAGACAAAACATGAGTAGCAATTTCTTTTGGTAGAAATCCATCAGCTTTAAATGCAAAAAATATTTATTGGATCCTAAAGGAATATAAATTTATTCCAAGAAAATATCAACCATTTGTTACCATACCGTTCAAACATTATTTTTTTTTGTCCTACTCCTAAAAGTCTTATTTGTGCACTGGATGTAAAGCATAGTGCTTATTAACAGTCTGAAGAACTCTTTAATATAAATATACCCCCAAAAATTTGTTAGTACAAAGGTTGAATTGAAAGTTCATTTGGAGCTTTAGGTTTTCCAACTCTTCATTTTGAAGACATTTTCTTTGTGAATAATTGTGGGAATGTATTTTATATGACATAAAATATGAAAAATTTGTTAGTGTATTTCATTGCTGGATGAATGGGAAAACCTAGCAAGACCAACACAAATCATGTCTTGATCAAAGATTAACTTATACAGGATATATATATATATATATATATATATATATATATTATAAAATACATAAAAGGTTAAAATGGTCAGAGTTGAATCAGACCAGGAACCAGTAATATTAAAAAGTGCTCAATGCACGTGTAAAAGACGTACTGCAATTAATCTTGTTATCCAATTTTTCTTGCATTTATACTAGTATTTTCTTTTCAGAACTTGAGGTGTGTAAAAACTGTCCAAATGTTCTATGTAACCAAGTGCTTTTGGCTATTAGCCATTATCAAGGGTGTTTTTTTTTAAATTTTTATTTTTAATTGAATATGCAGTTTTATATATGTATATCTATAATGATGAGTTTGACACATAATTGATATTATAGTGTTGTTTTTTGTTTTTTATTATTATTATTAATGCTGCCATAATTTTTAGTCATTT